GGGGTGGGGAGAGGAATTCCTCACTGCAAAGTAATTTGGGGGAGGAAAACTTGTGAAAACAAGATGTTTCGACATTGTCAGCAGGAGAAGTGTGTGTTGCTGGTCAGGAATGTCTTTTCCATGTCTGAAAACGCGTGAGTTATAATGAAAGACATTCATTTTTCCCTTTTCTTAAAAGGGAAAAAAAACCCAAAAAACAACAAAAACAAAACCAAGAAACAAACCACAAAAAACCCCAACTCCAACCCCAAAACCCCAGCCCAAAAGACTGCAAGGCAAAAGTGCTGCCTGTTGCTCTGGGGGGTTTGGGGGTCAGTGAGCAGGATCCCCCCCCTCCCACTCCCCAAAGAGCCCCAGTTTGCATCAATCCACTGGGTATCACTGGGGCATGGCTGTGCCATGGCGTGGGCTATGCTTTGCTGTCACCAGCAGGACCCACTCGTGGGTGTCACGTAGCCTGCAGGCACCCCGAGATCCTGTGTGGACAGCCCACCCCCCTCACCCCAAAGCACAGGGAACCCCAGGGCTGGGGCAAAGCCTTCCCTGGCCGCTCTGCCCCAGGGGGTTGTGAGGAATCTGGCACGGGGGGTCTCAGCGAGCCCCCGGGGAACAACGGTACCCCATCCCAGGGTACAAGGGTTCATGCAGAGCCAGAGCTGGGTGCAGGGGTCTCGGGTACCAGTGATGCCACGATGTCCCACTGGGCTCACCCAGCCCCTCTGGTCTCTGCCCCAGGTGTCCGCTTCCCAGGCGTAGGGGTACTGCCCGGGGTACCCACTGGTGCTGGAGTCAAGCCGAAAGGTCCAGGTAGGTCCCCTCGATCTCCTGGGGAACACCAGGGTGGAGGGTGGGCCCAGGGCTGGCCCCAGCTCTGCCCCCATCCCCATCCTGCTGGGGCTGACTTTCAGCCCATCCCTTGGGGTCACAGCCCCACAGGGTATGTGGGCAAGTGAAGCCGACCTCCGGCCGAGCCCATCCAGACTAGTTTGGGGCCCGAGGACCAGCCCCGAAGCTCATGTGGTTGCCTTTGTGTTTCTGTCTAGGAGCAGGAGCCTTCGCAGGAATCCCCGGTGAGTGTTCCGTCTCTCTCGCCCATCCTTCTCTTCCTTCCCAAGCCTGTTCCTCACAGCCACGGCCTCCCCACGCCAGAAGATGCCTCAGGGCTTCCCAAGCCACCCGCTCTCCTCTCTCGGGGTGCCCTGGGGCGCTCCCCTCTCGCAAGGACCGGTGGCAGCCTGGGCACGGGCTCCAGGTGAGAGTCTGCTGTTGGCTTTGCAGGACTGGGAGGTTTTGGAGGTCAGCAGCCCGGTGTCCCTCTGGGGTATCCCATCAAAGCTCCTAAGCTCCCAGGTAAGCCGCCACAGCCAGCGGGGCTGGGGGTGAAGGACCCCCAGCAGTGCCAGGAGAAGGACCCGCCGTTCCCCAGGGCCGAGCCGTGGTCCCCCCGGGTCCCCTGGACCTGGCAGTGCTGGTGCTGGCCCTGGGACAGGAGGACAGAGCGAGGGGCACTGGGCAGGTGAGTCCAGCAGCAGCCCTGCCTATTGCAGCCCCGTGGGCAACGGCCTGGATGCTGCTGCTGGTCTTGCTCCCAGCCCGTGAGGACGATGCTGTGCCACTCTCCAGCTGTCGAAAGGTAGGAAAGAGCATGTTCTGGGGACATGCTTAGGGCCAGGCCACCCCAGGCTGTCCCTGCCGGCTCCTAGTGATTCTGTGAGGCACAGCCCTTGCAGTGACCATCTGCTTTCTGTGGCTCCTGGGTTGTGCTGGGCATCGCTGGGCATTCGCCGGGCATTCGCCTGAGGCCAAATATCACAGCTCAAGGAGCTCTACCCAAGGCCACCAACAGCAGGCAGGAGGTGGGGATGGAGCTCTGGGCAGGTGTCCCTCCCCACTGCCCACCCAGATGAGGCTCAGCCCCAGCCCAGGGAAGCCTGGGGGTGCCCGACACCCCTTTCCCAGGCTCAGATGCTCCAGGGACCTCCATCTGCCTGTCCCCAGCTGGCTGTGCCCACACAGGGACAGTGGCAAGACGGGCAGTGCCAGTCAGCCAGGACAGGGTGCTACCCTCCAAGGGCCATGCTGCCAGCTTGCTGGTCCCAAGAGCATCCCTGAGGAGGAGGAGGGCAGCCAGGTCCGGCTGGGGACCTCCATCCCTGGGGTGCTGGGGACCGAGTAGACCCACAGCCATTTTCCCACTCGCCAAAACAAACTGCTGCAGGCGGGAGGGTCTTGGCGGGGGGAGCCCCACTCCTGGGGAGCAGATCCCACCCCGGCACGGGCGCCAGCCCCGGCAGCTCTGCCGGCTTCCCCCCGCCGGGGCCCGTCGCCGCAAACGGCAGCAGAAATACTTGGCCCGCTCCAGCTTCCTCCCGCGGAGGCAGAGTTATGCTCGTTAGGGCGACTCGGCCCCGCCGCCATCGGATACCGTCTGGCCTCCTGGCCGCAGCCCGGCCCCAGGCCGCCTTTCATGGGGTGCCCGCTGCGGCGAGTGCCTGGCTCCATCCCGCCCCAGCCCCGCCAGTGGCCCGCAGCCCCGACGGGGCGCCGCTGCCGGCTGACCCACTTTATGGGGAGCCTTCATGAAAGAAATCAGGGGAGGGCACCCGTCCCCTTTGGCCAGGGAGCCCGGTCGGTGCATCACACCTCTTGTGGGGACCAGCAGGACAGTGGTGGTGTCCCCAGCTGTGGTTCCGGGTGCTGGGTGCTACCTGGCACCCCAGTCCTTCTTGGGGAGCTGGGTTATGCCAGTTTGTCACCTCTGAGGGCTTGGGGCTGGCAGCGTGGGGACACACTGGGCTGGCTGTCAAAGCTCTCACTTTGATGCTGCAGATGGGCCCGGGGACTGCCACACATCCCTGTGTCCCCTGGACTGTGTCCCAGCTGCAGTAGGTCCAGGTCGAGAGGGGACAAGGGGACAGCAGCGAAAATAACATTTTCAGTGGAAAGTCTCCTTTTTGGATGATTTTCTCCAAATTATTTTCTCCACAGAGCTCCTGCTCTGTGCTGTCCCCACTCAGGAGGTGGCCCCAGGGCCATCCTGCTCAATGGAGGCTCAGACTGAAGCTGTGGCTGAAATCAGGGTCCCACCTGATGCTGTAGGGATGGGGGCTGCTCCCCACTGCCCAGCCATGCTGGGGTGGCATTGGTCAGGCTTTCCATGCCAGCCAGGATGCCCATGGGTCCTGAGCCCCACCAGTGGTGCTGATGGCATCCCTGTGCTGGCCAGGATGGGTACACACAGCCTTAGGGTGGGGGCTGCACCCAGCAAAACCCTCAGAGACCCAAAGGCTCAGGCTCTTCAACCTTGGAATCACCTCCATGTGTGTCACCCAGTGCCAGGCCCTTCCATGAGCAAGGCGGTGATGGGTGCCCCAGGATGGGCATGGATGGGTCCCCAAGGTAGGGGATACCCAGTGCAGATCATGGGTGTCACAGCCTGGAAAGCCTGTCTTCCAGCAATGCTGTGCTGGTGTGGGACACCATGGGACAGCCTGGCAGGGTGGAGAGAAATCTGGTCCCCACATGGTGTCAAAGAGACGCTTTGCCATGAGCAATCCCATCCTGGTCACAGGCAGCCTGCATCCCCGCCCTGCCCGTGTGTGTGAGACACCCTCCACCCTACGTACTGCGCAAGGTGTCCCCGTTGGGATGTGGCAGCCCATCGCCCCTCCTCAGGCCACCACCAGCCCTGACAGGAGCTCAGTGCTGCCAGCTCCCAAGCGCACGGTCCCCGCCGAGTCACGGGCATCCCCGCGCCATCCCGAGTGGTGGGACCCTGCTCTTTGGCAAGGAGACGTTTCCCCGGCTGTGATGTTCCCGCTCGTAATCCCTCCCTGTCCCTTCGCGCCGACCTCCTAATGAGGTCACGTTTCAGTGGAGGCTCCCAAGCCCTGATTCCAATTAAAGCCTTTTCATTTGGAGCTGGCCGTGGCGCAGCCAGCTGGGTACAGCTCTTGCCGCGGGGCTCCCGGGGGACCCCCCGCCGAAGTGGGGTCACGGGGAGGCTCCTGCAAAACCGGCTTCAGGCACCACAGCCCTCGGCACAGGGATGAGAGTGAGTGGCTCTTTTTAGAGCTGCTGCTTCCAAGGTGATGGGGAAGAGCATCTCCTGGCACGGCTCTGCCGAGGGGGGTTAGTAGCCCGGAGGATTTAGTATCCTGATGGAAGGAGCCCCGAGGGATGGTGCCACACAGCCGGCTGGCAGAGAGGGGCTACACCGCGGGGCAGAGGGGGCACGGCCACCGGCAGCCAGGTGCTAACCCGCCACCTTCTCTCCTCTCCAGGTGGCTATGGATTGCCCTACAGCACTGGTAAGCTGCCCTACGGTGAGTGCTTGTAGCCCTTGCTCCGCGGTCGTAGCTCCTCCCAGCTCTGCCGACTGCCGCCGTGGCCTCGTGGCCACCAACCCCTGGGGTGGTGTGAGGGGCATCCTGCTCCTGGGGCGAGGTGGTCCCTCAGGGGACCTGTGCCTTGCCCTGCTGTGAAGCCTGTGGACCCGGCTGGCAGCAACCCGCCTCTCCTGGCATCTGGCAGCGCGGGGCCGGGAGGTGTTAATCCGCAGGCACGTGGTGGCTCCGGCAGCGGCCGGCTGGCTGCCTCTCTGCTAGGACACCTCCTGAGCCACCGCCAGCTCCGGGCAGCGAGGCTTGAACTGGCATCTCAACCCAGGGGGGTGCTGGCTCCAGCATCCCCCCCTACATCCCTCGACACCGGTTGGGGGACGATCCTTTGGGCCGAGGGAGCTGCTCCATCTGCCTCATCCTCCTTCCCAGGGACAGTGCCTGACCTGGCTTTGCCTTTCTGTTTGTGGTTGCAGGCTTCGGGCCCGGCGGGATCGGAGCCGGCATCGGGGCAGGAAAGGCAGGGTACCCCACCGGGACAGGTACGCTCCTTCCCAGGCAGCCCCAGGGTGGGCGACTGGCATGGGCATGGAGGGGGGACCGGGCATCCCTATCACTTTGCTGCTCCTTGGATGGGATGTTGGGCACTGCCAGGCTGTCTGGTGGCCCCAGGGTGTCAGTGGCACCCCAGGGAGAGCCCAGAGGGGTGCATCACCTCCCAAAGGAGAGCGGGGGTGGATGCTGATAGGAGGGGCCAGTCCCCAGGGTCCCTGCGGGATGGGAGAAATGAGGTGGGAATGGTCTCCAGACCTCAGCGGCTGTCCGTGTCCTTCCCCAGGAGTCGGAGCGCAGGCGGCAGCGGCAAAAGCAGCAGCAAAATATGGTGAGTCACCCTCCACGGGCACATCCATCACCCATCTCCCCAGTGGGGCAGCTGCTCCCTCCCTCCCAGGCTGGCAGGGGGGATGCTGGTGTGTCCCTGCCCCCCGGAGCTGACAGTCCCCTTCTCCTCTGCGGCAGGAGCTGGTGTCCTGCCCGGGGCTGGTGCCATCCCAGGGGTCGGGGGAGTGGTGCCCGGTGTCGGCGTTGTCCCAGGAGTCGGAGGTAAGGCGATGGCGGGGCTCAGCCCTGGGGCTCGGGGAGGATCACACCCCCCCCATCCCGCATCCCTGACTCTCTCCCGTTATCCTGGCAGTCGGAGGGCCGGCAGCAGCGGCGGCAGCGGCGAAGGCAGCGGCGAAGGCAGGAGCTTTCGGTGAGTTCCCTGCTGTCTCAGACAGATCTGGCACCTGCAGGGCCGGACTCGCTCCTGGGGCATGGAAGAGCTGTGCATTGGGGCTGGGGCTGTGTGGCTTCATCCCCACACCCTTCCTGCCACACCACCCCCTGCCCCAGCTCCTGGGGTGCTCTCCCAGCCCCAGACCCCTGCCTCGGCTCCGGTGGCTGCTTGCTGGAGCTTGGGGTGCAGTGAAGCCACTCTGCTGAGCCATTGGCTTTGGCAGGTGGAAGGCAGCAAGGTGAGAAACCTCCTCCAGGGCTGCAGAGGGGCTTTACCCGCTTGGGGACAGCTTCCAGCAGCTTGGTGGGACAACTGGGCTTAGGCGTAGCAAAGCCTGGTTTACAAAAAGCAGCTTTTTTGGCAGGGGCTGGCTGGCCACCTCGCAACGCAGCAGCCCGACCCAGCGCAGTATGTCCCCATCACACATGGTTTCTCCATAAAAGATGTGGTTTTGCAGTGCCGAGCTCCGGCAGCGTCTCTGGGGAGATGGTGTCTGTAACGAGCCACCATTCGTTAGCGAAGGGATGCGCTTGGTGATGCAGATCTTGTGTTCGCTGCTCCCCTCGTTGGCTGTTTTGTGGTAGAAAAGTGAGCAGCAGACAACCACTCATTGGAGCATCCAGAGGAAATGCGTCAGCCCTGGGAGCAGCTGGGATTTACAACCATTGCCTCGGGGGACCTCGAAGGTCCCCAAGCTCCTGGGTGGCTGGGTGGGCTTCAGATCCTTGGGTTGGGTGTAGGGAACTGGGAATCCCAATCCTGGGTGCATCCTGAGGCCCCTGAGCAGCTGGTCTGGGAGCTGTGGAGAGCTCACCTCAAAGCCAGGAGCCTCCTGTGGCACCAGGAGAGACCGTGTCAGTGTCACCACCAGTAGCAGGGGGTGTTTTTGGGGGGGATCTGACTGCTCTGCTTCCCTCCAGCTCCAGGAGCGGTGCCCGGGGTTGGCGGTGTCCCAGGCCTCGTGCCCGGCGTTGGTGGTGTCCCCGGCTTGGTGCCCGGTGTCGGCGGTGTCCCCGGGGTAGCAGGTGACTGTTCCCAGGAGCCCTGTCCCCACCACCCGGCTCTGTGGGGAGCACAGGAGCTGGTGGCTGAGGGTCCCTCTCTCCCTTGTCCCCAGGAGTCGGGGCGCCGGCAGCAGCAAAGGCAGCAGCAAAGGCAGCTAAATACGGTACGTGCTGCACGGTGCAAGGATCTCCCCAGCAGTTCCCCAGGGACCCCTGCTGACCCTCTCCTCCCGTGGCACTTGGGGTGTCCCCCAGGCAGGCGGGTGTCCCCTGGGGATCACTCCTGATGGCTCGTTACCAAGGAGCATCCCAGGTTGGGATGTGCCCAGCTCAGCTCCCAGCTACTGCGTCCAGGCTCGGCTTCATCCCCAGGGCAGGACCTTCTCCCTCTCTGGGGTTTCTGCAGGCCGCTCCCTGGAGGTGAACGGATGAGACTGAACTCATGTCTTGCCTAAATTCTTGGGTTTTGTACCAAATCTGTTTTTCCAGCCGCAGACCTGACCCAGGGTCTGTTGCCTGAAGGTTCAGCCTCACTGCCCAGGTGGGACCCTTGCCCGGGGTCACAACCTTCCAAAAAACTGCTGGGATCCAGAAGGTGCATCACGACTTGGTCTAGCAAGGCCCAGATGTCTAGAGGCATAACGAGCCCCAAGAGAGCTCCAGCAGGGAGGAGCCCAGAGGAGATGAGGGACATGGCCAAGAAGCAGGGAAGCAGGGAGCCCAAGCACAGAGAGGAGGCAGAAGTGGCCCCGAGCCCCACGCAGGGCTGGGGGATCCATGTACTGCTCCAAAAGGCAGTGCCAGAGGTTACATGGCCAGGTCCCAGGACTTTCTCCTGCAACACCACTGCAGGGTGCTGCTCCATGGCAGCTTTCCTTTGAGGGATGAAACTTTGCTGGCCATTTATTCCATTCCTTTTCCACATCAAATAGATGTAGATGTAGATGTAGTAGACAAAAATCCCACCATGTGCCCAGGGAAGGATGGGTTTTAGGGATAAATTTGGCAGTAACAAGTTAACAGATGTGTGCTTTGTGCTGGGTGCCAGGCACCTACCGAGCAGGGGACTATGAGGACAACCCCTCTGGCACACAGCCCTTCCAGACATGACCTCACGCTTGTCCCTGTGGCATTAAGGAGTGTCAGCGGGTCAAGGCTGTCACTGCCCTGGGCAGCCTCCCAGTCTGGCCAGTGCCCAGGGCACCCAGCCCTTCCAGGCAGCTACTGGGGACCACCAGCCACTTCACCTCTGTGGCCTGTCTGGCTGCAAGGCTTGATGCTCCCGTGATGAGGACCATCTGGAGTGCTCCGTGATGATGAGGATCGTCATGGTCCCCTGTGCTGGTGACTTCCAGCCTCTCTTTTACAAGAGCAGATTTACCATCCTAGCTGGGGCCTCTTGGGAGACACGGGGCCCGCACCTCTGTGCATCTCTCCTGGGACAAGGCGGTGGGGTGCTCTCTCCTCACTGTAGCATGACAATGAGAGCAGACAAGGTCCAACCTTTCAGCTGTTGCTGCAACGAGATCTAACTTCTCCTGGCTTTAAGCTGGAGAAGAGCAGATTTAGATTGGATATTAGGAACAAGTTCTTCACTGTGAGGGTGGTGGAGCACTGGAACAGGTTGCCCAGGGAGGTGGTTGAGGCCCCTTCCCTGGAGATATTCACAGTGAGGCTCAATGAGGCCATGGGCAACCTGGTCTAGTTGGGGGTGTCCCTGCTGACTGCGGGGGGGTGAGACTAGATGGCCTTTGGAGGTCCCTTCTGGCCTGGACCATTCTATGACTCTATGATTCAGCCCTTCTCGTTGCCTGCAGGAGCTGGCGTTCCTGGCATTGCTGGCGTTCCCGGTGTTCCTGGTGTTCCTGGCGTTCCTGGCGTTCCTGGCGTCCCTGGTGTCCCTGGTGTTCCTGGTGTCCCTGGCGTGCCCGGTGTGCCCGGTGTGGCTGGGGTTCCTGGTGTGGTGCCCGGTGTCGGAGGTGAGCAGATGGGCTGGTGAGACGATGGGGTGGTGCTGGCCTCGCTGGTCCCCTGACTCTGTCCCCTCTGTCCCCACAGTGGGTGTCCCAGACGCCGCGGCGGCCGCGGCAAAGGCTGCAGCGAAAGCAGCAGCATTCGGTGAGTCACCATCGTCCTTTGCCAGGGAGGGAGGCTTGCAAATGGGCAGGGTGGGGGGCAGCCCTGGGCACTGTGGATGGTGGGGAGGTCAGCGGGACCCCTGCCTATGGAGCCTGCCTGCTCGGCCACCTCCCTGAACCCCTCTGCAGGAGCAGGACGTGTGCCCGGCGTCGGCGTGCCTGGTGTCGGCGTGCCCGGAGTCGGCGTGCCCGGAGTCGGTGTGCCCGGAGTTGGTGTGCCCGGTGTTGGTGTGCCTGGAGTTGGTGTGCCCGGAGTCGGCGTGCCCGGAGTTGGTGTGCCCGGTGTTGGTGTGCCTGGAGTCGGCGTGCCTGGAGTCGGCGTGCCCGGTCTGGTGCCCGGCGGTGTACCAGGTGAGATGGTGTCTAAGGGATGGTTGGGATGAGGCCAGTGGTGCCGGCTGAGGGGTGCCGGTGTGGCCACCGCGGCCCATCGCTGCCCCTCACACACCCCCTCTCCCCCAGGAGCTCCAGCGGCCGCCGCTGCTGCCAAAGCAGCCGCCAAAGCAGCCAAGTACGGTAAGATGGATCTCTCCAGGGTTATCCTACATGTTCTGTCTCCTGCCATCTCCCCACTCCAGGCTCCTCTCCTTATCAAGGCTGAGACTCGGCACTGGACAGGGCCCCTGTGGGTCAGGGTGAGGGTTGAGCTCTCTGCTGGGCTGTACATGGGATGAGGTCTTGGCTGTGTCAGGGTGTGCTCTCCAGGTTCTGCATGGAGAACTCACCTCATCCATCTATCCACCCTCCTTTCTACTCACCCATCCAAACAATCAGCCAGCCACCTCAGTATCCATCTGTCCATTCACCTGTCCCTCCATCTGATCCTCCATCCATTCATCTGTCTCACCATCTACCTGTCTCACCTTCCATCCATCCACCCTGCCATCCATCCCTCCCTCCCTCCATTCCACATCCATCCAGCCACTCATCCATCCCAGCATCCATCCATCCCACCATTTATCCGTCCATCCATCCATCCATCCATCCATCCATCCATCCATCCATCCATCTGCCCACCCCAGCCTGCCATGCCTTTTCAGCCAGCTCTTTCCACGACCTCTCTTCCTGAGCTGAAGCTCTAATCCTTCCCTCTCTCCTTGCAGGAGTAGGTGGCCTGGCTCCTGGTGTAGGTGGTCTAGCTCCTGGTGTGGGTGGCCTTGCTCCTGGCGTAGGTGGCTTGGCTCCTGGAGTGGGTGCCCTGGCTCCTGGAGTGGGTGCCCTGGCCCCTGGTGTTGGAGGTGTCCCAGGTGAGGAGGAGAAAGGCGGGTGGGGGTGGCACCCTGGCTGGTGCAGTGGAAGGTTGGGGGCAGGGGTCAGGAGTGAGGAGGACCTTGGTGGTCTCCATCAACTCATGGCCATCCCTTGAGGGATGCAGAGGAGGTGGGATAGATGGGGTCTGCCCAGCATTGCTGGAGAGGACTCCCCCAGGGACACTGACCCCACTCTTGCTGTCTCTACCCAGGGGTTGGAGCTCCAGCCGCAGCAGCAAAAGCAGCAGCGAAGGCAGCCAAATTTGGTGAGTTGGCTGGAGAAGGCCCTTGCTCGTGGGTGAGCCCACAGCAGACAGCCCTGCCCACCCAGTGGGCACTTGGGGTATCCCCAGCAGTCCTGGCGTGGCACTGACTGGTCCAGGGGGAGCTGGGGGCTTTGGGGGTGGGCACCCCACGCCAGGCACATCATCACCTGGGTGTACGGGCATCCCACAGGGATCACCCCCTTGCTGCCTCACCCCATCTCTCCACAGGTGCTGGGGTCGGAGTGCCAGGCGCGGTGCCCGGCGCGGTGCCCGGCGTTGCGGGAGTGCCAGGAGTGACACCCGGTGTCGGCGTGGTGCCCGGGGTGGTGCCGGGCGTGGGGGTACCCGGTACTGGCATCCTTCCTGGAGCAGGTATGTGCTTCGTCACAGCCTGGCTGGGGACCCGCTGGGGGACAGCAGTGGCCAGGGATGCTACAAGACACCGAGCCACGTGGAGGGGTGGCAGAGGAGGGTGCAGGCTGGATGAGGGACGGTGGCACGCGGGGGGGATGCAGGGGTGACCATCCTAACTGCCGTGTCCTTGTTCACTTTGCAGGCATCCCCCAAGTAGGGGTGCAACCTGGTGCTAAACCTCCCAAATTTGGTACGTATCTCTGGCACCCTGCCTCAGGTCCACCTTGGACCGTCACTGGGCACCCTCTTCATGTGGCCATCGGGGTGCTAGCCTGGCTTCGTGTCCTCTCTGTGCCCCCTGGTGCCCCAGCAGAGGGTGGCTCTGGCGTGGGAGGTGATGTGCTGTCACCCATGGGTGCAAAGTGCCACCCATACCCCCTCCACTGGACTCGCTGAGCACATTTTTCTCCTGCTCTGCATTGCCTGTACCAATGCATCATGCAGGGTCCCCTCTGGGTCTTCTTGCTCTGGATGCTGAGATGGGTGCTGGAGACACCCAGGATGGGTGTCAGGGCCACCCCTGTGGGTCAAGCACTGACTGGGGGTGCCCTGAGCTGGGGGTGCTGGGCTGTGGAGGGACATTTTTTAATGGTCTCTCTCCAGCAGGTGTTCCCGGGGTTGGAGTCCCAGGGGTTGGTGGTATCCCAGGTAGGTGCTGGCCGGAGCTGAGCCCAGGCAGCAGGATGTGTGGGCAGAGGGATGCTCCTCTAGAGTGATACGGGTGGAGGGATGCTCCCCCACAGGGATGCGGGCAGAGGGATGCTCCCCCAGAGGGATGCGGGCAGAGGGATGCAAGTAGATGGATGCAGGCAGAGGGTTGAGGGCACAGGGATGCTCTCCCAAAGGGATGCAGGCAGAGGGATGGGGGCAGAGGGGTGCTCCCCCAGGGCATGGGGAGAGTGGGGCTGCCTGAGGAAGGACAGGCACACGTGGGGCTGGGAAGGAGTGGATCAGATGCTGCCCCACTGCCCATCCCCACTGGTGCTCACCTGGGGTCCTCGTCATAGGTGGCCTTGGAGTTGGTGGCCTTGGAGTCGGTGGCCTTGGAGTTGGTGGGCTCGGTGCTGGTGAGTGATGCTGGCCCGTGGTATCGGGGGACCCCAGGGCTGGGTGTGGGGAGCGGAGTGGCAGCAGCATGCTAGCAGAGTGCCGAAAAGGACAGGGGATATATGGGATGCAGGGTCACTTTTGTCCCCTCCTGGTCCCATGGCATGGTCCCACCCTACACTGTCACCGTGCCCTGTGCCCCATCCTGTGTCTCCCACCTGCCCTGCTCCCGGGAAGGAATGGCATCACCAAGCAGGTACCCAGGGCCATGGCACCACCAGGGGAGATGCAGGTGCCCATGCCATGAGGGCAGGGGAGGGTACTGTACCATGTCCCCAACATGTGGAGATGCAGGTCCCTGCCTGGGGACCTTCTGGGCTCATAGCAGGGACTGGCGGAAGCCGGGGGGACAGTGAGCCCTGGCAGGGGCTGCACTGATACCCCCCGTCTGATGCAGGACTCTTATATCCAGGAGCTGCTGGGAAACCTCCCAAGCCAGGTAAGGAACAGGGGCTGCTCTGGCCGGTGGGGCTGGAGGGGTGACCCCTATCCCTGTCCCCATCCCTGGTCCCACACTCCCCACCCTCACCAGGACTCTCCCATCCCGCAGGTTTTGGTGTTGGGGGGCTGCAGCCAGGTGAGTGCCGCCGTTTGGGGCTGGGGTGGGAGCGTGTCCCCTGCCACACCATGCTTGTCACCGCTTGCTGTCCCCACCCTGCTACCGTCCCCCACGGGGCACTCCACTGCCCAGGAGAGCACCCCGAAGCCACGCGGGTGCTGTGGCGGGGACAGGGGCTTTTGCAGCAGCTCCTGTCCCTGCAGTGAGCCAGGGTGTCCCCAGCAGGGGTGTTCCCAGCCGGGGCAGCCCCAGGCAGGCAGGGTTGGGGTGGCACTGCTGTCACAGGCTGTCACTCGCTGTCACTTTTTCCCCAGGGGCTGGAGTTCCCGGTTTTGGCGTGTCACCCATATTTCCAGGTACCGTCCCCAGCCCAGTGCCTCCGCATGTACCCGGGGAACATCTCGGTGCCTGGCTGGCTCACGGGGACATGCACAGCCCACGGAGCACGGGGACACGGCCACGGCGTGGGGAGGGATCCAGGGGACCGGTCTGAGCCGGGGGGTGCTGGGCTGGGGGGTGGGGGGCACAGCAACATGGGTGCCCACTGGGTGCTGAGGGCTTCGCTCTCCTTTCAGGTGGGGTCGCCGGGCAGCTGGGATTCGCTGGTGAGTGTCCATCCCCCCAGGGGGGCATTTTTGGGGTGTTGGGGGGGGATATCCATATCCCCCCTGCACCCAGTGGCCAAGTGGAGTGGGGGTCCCACTCACCCCGCTCTGCCTCCCCTCCCTGCAGGGAAGCCCCCCAAGACCTTCGGAGGAGCCCTCGGTGCCCTGGGCTTCAGAGGTGAGCGCTGCCGGATGAGCCTCCCCCGGCTCCTGCACCCCCCCTGCCCTTCTCCCCCCTGGGGGTTTGGGGGTGCAGGGGGGGGCTCATCCTCTGCATCCCCCCCCCCCCCCGGGCGGGGGGGGGGGGGGAGGGGGGGGACACAGCCCCACCTGTGGCCGAGCCAGGACCCCACATCGCCCGCAGCCTCCCCTGCCCCCCTGTCAACTGTTTCATTAAGAAAATGGGTATCAGGTGGGAGAAATAAATAAATAAATAAATAAATAAACAAACGGGAAGGAAAGTGAGGGTGGGAGCTTGTCGAGGAAGGAGGCGGACAAAGGGCGGTGGGGGCGAAGCCTTGCCCTCAGGTGTGGGGGTCTCCGGGGAGGAGGGGACGAGGGGCGGTAGGGCCGTGGGATCGCG